CGTTGTTACAACGTTGAAGTTTTAAAATGTCATTTCAACATAATTTAATTTTAATATATAGCAAAGTAACAGAGTTTAACAAAAAATCAAGACACTGTTAAATACTTCAGCTCTTTTATTTCAAAAATACAGTTCAAGTGCAGCTTAAATTCAAATGATTAAAGAAGTCCTTTTAGATTAACTATTAAGCTATAATCTGTTCCAAACTACTACTAGTACTTCTACTAGATCTCTCTGGGTATGTCTTAAGTGTTTCATGATGGTGTGTTGGCTGTCTCTTAATTACTGTTTCTGCAAATAAAATAAGAAGTTCGTAGTTGAAAGTGTCTTGGTCAATTTCAAATTATATATATAATTAATCAACTTAGTGATTTGTTTTATGTTAAAATGCTTATCTCTAAGATTTACATAATTACACAGCATAAAAATTAAGATACAGCTGAAGTTTCATATTGACAGCAAATTATGTACATAAAACAACAAAACGGTGAAAGTACGCGTGTATGTTTAAACCCAAATCATTTTTCTCTCGTTTATTGGAATAGAAAGAGACCAGTCAATATTTAACATACCTAGGCCTAATATTTACATTTTTAATAAAGAAACTCTATGAACATGTTCACTCTTTGCTTACTCGACGTAATTTAATCAAATTCTTAAAAAATAAATAAATTGCGTGAATGTTACCCGCAAAATAATTGTCCAAATTGAAAATTCCTGTTGCATTTTTGAGTGTTTGTAAAAGCTGTACAGTAAGCACAGGGGTTGAGAATAAGGTATGGACGACAACAATTTTTTATTCCGTGTAGGCTGCAACAGGTCTCGTATGTAAGTTAAATGGATTGATAAAGAATTACCTGAAAAACACATGTGAAGCGAGGTATTTTAGGCAGCCATATTGTCTGTACGGGAAACCGTAAAAGTCACATGATTACCTACTGTGTTCCCTTAATGTAATTCATTTCCGCAATGTAATTCATTTGTTATCCGTGGAAGAATCTGTGTTCAAAATAGTTAATTCCTTTATTTTACACTCAAGATTTTAAAGTTGATTGTTTATGATGCAGTCTCACTTAATATATAGATTTGCCTCATAAATCCATCTGAATTTAATTGTTACCACTGCATATTTATGATTATTTGCAATGCACTTTTCCATGTCGGCCATGTTGGACTATTACGTACGCCTACAGTACTGTTGTCAGGTTTTTACGTAGTGAATGCAAGGGATAGTTCTTTATCCGATTGCGCATAAAGACCTGCCCGTTTATTATTTTACTTTTGATATTAGCGCATGATAGCTTATATTTTCTAAAAATCATTTGTTGAAGTTGTGACAAAAAATAATTGTTGTGCTAGGTTGAGTGAATTTCAGCTCTAATAGAAACTCGTTTAAAATATCGTTTAATCAAATTGCGTAACAATCTACATGTAACTAAAGTTGTTAAAAACTTAACATGATCACGATATTTAAATAAACGTTTAAAAACGTTTTCATTTTGCGTTCGTTTTAGCGTGCGTATATCGTTTAGCGTATTTCGTTTAGCGTATATCGTTTTGCGTGCGTCTGCGTATTCCGTTTCGTACAGCGTACGTATAACGTTCGTTCTTATAGCGTGTAGCGTGCGTGCGTTTTTTCCAGAGCGTGCGTTTTTGCGTGTAAACTGAAACGTTCACCCTACTGTACATACATGACCTTACCACACTCAAAATAAATTAAATTAGCTAACCACTATTGAACTTCTGCAAAAGCTGTTTATAATGCACCGAATGTTAACATAATAACTTTGTCCGTTCTTCCGTCTTTCCAAAAAGAAGAAGGGTGTATCGAAATATAAAAGTTAGTATTCTTTACAAAACAAAAGTAACCACTTTTCTAGGTAAACATGCTGAATAATTAAAAAATGACAACAAATGGCGAAAGTGGGGACCCTTTTCTTTTTTAAGCGGTAACTATTTTTGACGAGGGTCATTATGGGGAGGTCAATATACTTGACTTTATCAAAAGTCTTGACAACTACTATCACAATTCAATTATACATCTAAAACTGTATATAAAGTCCAAATTATATAGCTGTATTTCATAATATGCAAATAAAAGTTTCTTTATCAAAATTAACATCCACTGATGTCAAAGTTTAATTAAGCACCGGCCAATGTACATGTTGCCACATTTTCATAGCTGTAGATTTAATACAAAAAATAGTTCACTGGGTAATCACCGGTAGTAAGGGGTGCGGGTAATATTGAAAAGGCGGTAAACCATACATTTTTCATGATATAGCCTGTAGAATTTCTGTAGAATTTCAGAAGAGGAGATGTTACGTTTGAACTATAAACATATAATGAAAACATGTCCCCAAGTCAGGCCAGTTTTTACCCTGTGACCATGATCAAACAAATTTTGTAACTACCTGCTAGACAATATTGCATGCCAGATATCAAAGGGGTTACCTAGTCCTTGCAACCTAATAGAACAAGACTTTTACGCTTTTATTATATACAATTAAGAAAAACCAATGACCCTTGGGGAATTTGAACAAACTCAAGCCCTTGTGCTGTCAGGAAGAATATTTTAAAGGTTTTCTTTCGGTTGCCATGGCAACAAAACTGCCTGAAATTAAATTTAGTACTAACAACATCGCCACACTGGTTGAGGAAGAGATATTATTTGAAACAAAAGTTAATGACGTACGACGGACAACGGGCACAGCCCACCATTAACACGTTGTGCTTAGGTGAGCTTAACATTTTAGCCAAACATAATGAATAATAACAAATATTTTAAGCAAAGAAAACGTAAAACGTGTTTAAGGCTCAAATCTGGAGCTTGAACCTGAAAGTGGAGTGCCAGAATGTGTGTTCTGCACGACGTGTTAATATGTGTGTTATACACGACATGTCAATGTGTGTGTTCTGCATGACATGCCAAAGTGTGTATTCTGCACGACAAGTCAGTGTGTGTATTCTGCACGACATGCTAATGTGTGTGTGTTCTGCACGACATGCTAATGTGTGTATTTTGCACGACATTTCAATGTGTGTGTCTTGCACGACAAGTCAATGCATGTGTGTTCTGCACGAGATGTCGATGTGTATTCTGCACAACATGTCAATGCATGTGTTCTGCACGACATGTCAATATGTGTATTCTGAACGACATGTCATTGTGTTTATCCTGCACGACTTGTCATTTTGTGTATTCTGCACGATGTCAGATACCAAAAAGCTCTAAAAAGGATCTGACACAAAATTGCGTACTTTAGCTGTTCACCTTTGTACCCCCACTATAGGTGGGGATTCATATTTGACCTTGTCCGTCCGTCGGTTCTCTTTTATGTTGCACGTAGCTCAAAAAAAATTTACCTAGAGTTATGAAACTTTATAGGAATATTGGTCAGCATGTGTTGTTGTGCACCTGGATGTTTGCATGTGGATTTATTCAGTATTTGTAGAGTTATTGCCTGGACTTAATAAAAATGTGCAATTTTCAACTTGTGTTGCACGTAGCTCAAAACAAATTGACCTAGGGTCATAAAACTGTACGAGAATGTTGCTCAACATGTGTAGTTGTGCTTCTGGGGTATCAATCGTGGATTCTCTTTTGTCACAGTTATTGTCCTTGAGTTTTTAAATATGTATAATTTTAAATTTGTGTCACAGGTAGCTCAAAAATGTTTGACCTATAGTCATGAAACTTTATAAAATGTTGCTCAGCATGTGAAACTGTGCACCAGTTTTGCTTGTGGATTTATTCTGATTTCTATTTATGTCATGCAAGGCTCAAAACGTTTTTGACCTCGAGTCATCAAACATAACAGAAATGTCGGTCTGTGTTGTTGTGCACCTGTGGGTTTGTTTGTGTTATTCAGTATGTGTAGAGTTTTGCCCATGACCTAGTAAAATTAACATTTTTCATCTTGTATCCACGTAGCTCAAATGATATTTGAGTTATAGTCATGAATTGTTACAGGAACTTTGATAAGCATGTTAAGTTGTGAACACGGTGTTTTACTTGTGGATTGAGTCTGCTTTGTCAGAGAAATTACAATTGACTTAGTAAAAATCATTTCAAATGTTCAATTTGTCTTGCCATATTTATATGTTTTTGACCTGGAGTCATGAAACTTTATAGGAAAGTTGGTAATAATGTGTGGTTTTGCACCAGGGATTTTCAACTTGTGTCGCGTATATCTAAAGAAATTGACCTAAAGTCATGAAACTTTACAAAAATGAAGGTTAGCATATGATGTAGTTGTGCACCTAGGGGTTTGATTTTGTATTTATTCAGTATATGAAGAGTAATTGCCCTTTACTAAGTAAAACCCATTCTAAATTGTTGTGTTATATGCATCTTGAATGACTGAGTCAGAATCAACCAACTTTACAGAGATGATGATCAGCATCACCGTGTTGCTGTGTACCTGTTTTTTTGCATGTGTTTTTTTTTACAATTTAGTTGGAGATATTGCCCTTGAATTAGTAATAATTATAGACTTGTTCATTCATATGACCTGCAGTCCTGAAAGTATAGAATAATATTGGTCAGCCTGTGTAGTTATGCACCTTTTGTTTGCTTTGGGATTTATTTAGTATTTTGTAACGTTTTTATCATCGTAAAATATTTCAATTTTCAACTTGTGTTACATGTTGCCCAAAACATTTGACCTAGAGGCAGTAGATGGACAAAACAGTGGAATATGGGGGCACCCGTGTCCTACGGATTAATTTCCAGTTTTCTCTGATTTTGATCTTGACGCTTGACATGAAATATGGCTTCTGCATGTTGTCCAATTTAAAAAACATTAGATCCAAAGAGACAACTTAAACAATTTGTTTATGTATCAAAACCTTAAGCTTTATATTGCAAACTTTACTTGTTGGCACCTGGATCCTGGTTTTACTCAATCAAACTGTAAAGAAGGCCTACAATGTTAATGTAATACATTCCTTACACAGTTTTGATGAAAAAATGAAGCATTATTTTTTTTATATTTAAGGCCGATATTGCAGAATCACAGTTGACAATTGTCACAGAACCAGAAGCAGCAATTGTATACTACCAAACGGAAAACCCAATCTGGAATTTAACGACTGCCAATATATCCAGTCCTGGGACAAATAAATGTATGGTTATTGATATTGGAGGTATGTGCTTAGTTATACATAATTGAGGGAATAAACTTCATACATTTTTCTGTTACTTTGTAATAAGGACAGTCTGTTTATATCAAGGTCTAATTGACCACTATAAAATTTGTCTATGTTACATGTCTAAGAGGACAGATATATCTAATTAATTGTTATCAACAATATTTTTTATCAACATAATATGTATTCGAATAAAAATTACTATGAGTAATAATTATATTGGGTTACTTCAGTAAAAAGTTCTATTGTACTACTTAATTAAAAATAAAATGTGTACACTATTATTCAATTAACTACAGAAGTATATTTCTTATAAAGTTAAAGGGAAAAACAATATCTCATTTTCATGAACAAGATATTGCCAATAGACATAAGAGGTGCTTACGACTATGTAAAGCTTGATAAAATTAATTCTTTTCTGTTGCTTTTGGATGAATATATATATATTAGCTCCTTTCTAATAGTTAGGAAAACTGTAAATTGATCTTCGAAAGTAATATGTCCAATGAGAAATTAAAACCATTCAAACTGTTCATTTTGTAATAAATTAGAATGTTTTATGTAATTCTGTAAATTACTAGAGTGTATACAGCTGATATTAGAACAAGAAAAATAAAAACTGATGAATCTTTCAGAATTTGATTTTTAATTCACTAAGATGAATATAGCTGAAGTACATAAAAAGTTTTTAAAAAGTTAACAAACAATTTTTTGCAGGCAGTACTACTGATTTCACTATATTAGAGCGTCAGTCGGACGGTGGCCTATCAGAAATCAAATCGGCAACTGGTATAGCATGTGGTGAAAACATGGTGATAGAGGAATTTCATGAACTCCTCCGTTATATAACAGGTGACGCAGTCTATCAGAAATGGATTGATGAATATGCTGTTCATCAAACAGATCTGCAAAATGAGATTGTAATAAAAACTAGAACACTCAAAGCTAACAGTACTGGAAAAGAAACATTCAAAGTTCCATTTTCATTGCCAAATATATTTAAGGAAATAAATCATGAAAGTACACTGCAAGCTATAGAGAGATCACAATATAAAGGAAGAATTACATGGTCATCGGATAAAATAAGACTAGACGCAGAGATAGTCAAACATCTGTTCAAACCTTGCACTGATAGTATAGTAGATCATGTTAAACATTTACTGAAAGCACCTGAGGTTCAAGGAACGAGCATATTTCTGATGGTCGGCGGGTTTTCCAAGTTTTCAATAGTTCAAGAGGCCATAATAAAAGCCTTCCCGACTGTTAACGTCATCATTCCGGAAGAACCAAGCACAGTTGTTTTGAAAGGTGCGGTGATTTATGGTCATCAACATTAGGGTACAAGTTAGACTCATCTTATTTAATACACTCACACTGTGTGTAGTTATACCAGATCATATATGTTTTCTCGACTGAATTAATACCTGATCAAGAAAAACTAAATTAAAAGTTATTATACCTTTAATATCTTTCGTACTAATCTATTTTCTTAGTGTACAAACTTAAATGTATATCATATACTGTGTATTTAATTGAATAAAATATGTTCATGAGATAGATAGTCACATTATATCTTTTTCTGAAAACAGCATATCCGTTTTTGTGATAAGCAAATACATTAAGTACAAATTGGAAAGAAAATGGAAGAAGGAAAATGACATTCAAACATGTTGTGATGTTCGAAGAAGTGTACGACTTAATTCTATTAATCAAAAGAAACAGAAGTTAAATACGTAATTAGTATTTTCATTGTACCATAATTACAAAATAAACAAAATGAATATTTTTAATGATGTCAATTCAAAATTACCTCAGGATTATATATTCAATGTTGATTAATGAGATAGAAATATTTTATGTTTGATGTATAAGCCTGCAGGGGTTTCCCACCAGATTCCTAGAAACATCAAAGAAACATAACATGTCATTCTACATGTAATTATTTTTGCCATTCCTTCTGTCAAGATGAAAGTATTTTGTTTTGTTGTTTTGGTTTTTTTTAAATAAAAGATGTTCAAATGCTTCCCTAACACATCTTATTCCTGTTGAATCTCCGATGAAATAAAAAAAGAATTTTGGTTAAATTTATGTTGCTTTTGTATGTTTTTTAACGCTGAATTAACACATTTAAATCTGATTACAATGATCAATCCGCATAAACGGCTTTTCTTGATAATTTACTAGTAAAAACCAATGTATATAGCAATGTGAGACAACTCATCATATGACTTAGTATCCAAGATCAATTGTCAATATCCTTTAAAAGATATACATGTAGATATTTTTGTTCGAACTATCATGTAAGTGAGATCAAATAAAGTGCCATTTGCTTCCTTAAATGATATTTGCATGGAAAACAAGTTTGATCTAAAGTATGTCAACAAGAATGTCTTATATCGATTTTATTTAAAAATCAAATCTGGTACAAATTTTTAATATTAAGACTTGAATAATGAGTCGGTAATAATTTTCATCTAAAAAAAGATATGTGTCTCCCTGTCCAAAAACATATTTACCAACCCTTTAAAAATTATACCAAATAATTTTTAGAGACATTCTTCTTTTTTACTAAATTAAGCCATAAACATTCAAAGCCGATAATTACAATCTGAAAGGCTTGAACCCGTGCCGATTTTGCGACTCCGTAAAATTGGTATTGCACGGCCGTGCATATATTTTGACGTTATACAAACAAATCGTGAAGACGCGCTATATGTTAGAGTTATTTTCTGTGGGATAACATGATTATTTCGTGAGTGTTAAAAAGTTTTGCAAAGTAAATAAAAACATTCACTTACAAAGGCTAAACATTTCTGTACATATTTTCTGTTTTTCAATTTATTGCAAAATATTGTGTTTTTTTTTACATATTTGAACATTTGACGAAAAATATGTTCTTATCTCCGTTAAAAAAATACTGGGCTGCTCATTTTGTTGATTTTCCATGGTTATAGTATATTCAAAATCGGTGTAATCAATTGCTTTACGTATGTTTCCCTCGCTATTACCCACACAGATGTATTTTCGAAGTTACACTCGCGTAAAAGAAAGATACACAGGGAATAGAGAAATAAAACGTCGAAACCACTGCGCCACGTTACTTTATTTTGCTATGTGTAAAAACGCTTCAGCTTTAATTAAGTCCAGCTAACACTTTTCTTAAAATAGTTTTATCCAATCACTACTGCATCATTAGTGCTGATTTTCATACAAGCCATTAGCAAGTACATACTTATTAATACATATGTTGTTAACCAGCGAGTATTTGCAATAGTTTGCGAAACTGTATACAATTGTAAAAAGAAAAAAATCAAATAAAGTGAGAAAAGGGAAGGGACATATAAACAATGTGCTTAAGTGGTACTTGTAGAAGTGACTCAAAAGTCTAGATACCCTGACAGGCCCGGAACGGAAAGTATGTTTCCATACTATTTCCGTAAAATAAAAGGGAGCCGGAGTAAGCACTCGCTGGGGAAAAAGAAATATACAATTATTTGCCTATATAATTATGGTTATTCAGTATTTGAACCGAAGTCAAAATATTATTTACTATCACATTCTGTTACTTATACGACAAATCAATTCACATTCAGGAAACATTTGACTTATCCCTTTCCATTTAAACAGTTCTATCACAGCCGTTTTACGCTTGCGTAAAACCTTGCTTGTTTTTATATCGATATTTTTTACTTTAGGGACTAAATACATTCAGCCGATGTCAACTAGCTTTAGAAATAACGCACAATTATCCCTATAACCATTCTGTGCCTGCATATTCACATGCATTTTTATCATTTATATAGAGGATATTTGTTTAGTTCAGTGTAAGATCGGAATATATTTCACCGAGTGCGCACCAGAAGGTTTATTTCACGAGTGGCGCGGCCACGAGTGAAATTTGGACTTTTTGTGTTCACGAGGAGAAAATGTATTTCAATCTTACACTAAACTAAACAAATTTTCTTTTATTATAAAAAAATTATACAAAGAAACTTTAAAATTACGTGTTAACCTAATGCTAAATGAAAAGCGCGCCAAAATGTAATACAACGTGACGTCATTTACGACGTCACGTCATTAAGTTGGTACCCAGTACTGTGCACGCTGGTGTTTAACTGAAATAACGTAACGGGCTTAAATTCAAAACAGTGAAAATTATCAAATTGATAATTTCACTGTTTCAAACAGTAAAATATCAGTTTTTAATTTCATTGATATATATTCTATAAATTACAAAAAGCATGTAATTATTTACTTTAATTCATTTATCATATTAATAACATATATATCAAAAAAAGAAAGGATAAATAAACAGATATTTATATTCACGGGCTGGTGTATGATATTATCTGTACCTTAATCGACTAATTTGCAATCCTTACGTAGCTGATAACGTTAACGTTAGGCACGTAATGTGTGGAAAATGGACAAAATATCGTGTGTTTTTTATGAAATGTCATGACATTTGACGTTGACAGTGTCATGATGAAATAAGACATTTACAAATGCTGCGAAATCACGAACTAAGTCAATGATCACAACAAAATTAAACTAATCTAATCTGAAGCATGTGCTTGGGGGCTTGAAGTATCACATTGCTACCAATTTGTATCAAGGCTTTGTAAAATATTATGATTCGCATTGACGTTCACATTTTGGATGAACTTAATAAACAATCGCTGATGTGATTTATTTGAAGTTCACTGTTATATGTCAACAGCCACCCCAAAGTCACTTTTTACCTCCGAAAACGATAAATATGCTGACAAATGAAGTGAATTAAATTATGGAAAAAGTAATTACAACATTTAACTTAATTTTTTTTATATCAAACAAAAAATATCACTTTATTCCAACAAAAGTACAAATGTATATTTTTTAAAACAATAACTAACCGATTCAATTGATCTGTCCGATATACCAGTTGTTTTAAGGTGTCATTGTGCAAAGTCTTAGTCCTATATACGTAAGTCATCGTTTACCCTGTTTTCGTCTCATTGAGAGAGTAGGCCTTCAGTTGTATTAAACTAAACTAAATTCAATGATTCTAGAGCCGAATCAACTCCAAATTGCATTTTGAATCTTGTATCAACACTTATTGCATTTTTTATCTACAAGAAGTAGCGAATAGTTTCAAGTGCTATCTTGAGACAGAACACCGACTTGTTTCTCGTATATTCACGCTCATATACAAAACAGTTACTGTATTTTGGTATTATTAATGAATAAAAATTAGCAAAGATATGAAATATGAGGATTTTGACTAGATGATAAACTAACATTTCAATGCCCGTAACGGAATCATTATGCAATCAAGTTGGGCGGGGTGTGGTCAATGCAGTTATGATATCTAATAACCAATGAATAAAATTGAAAATGTTACCAGCTCGATAAGATCAATCGCAACTTTCGGCCCTTCCCGTCTGTCTTCGAACACAATAGTATGAATACACAGAATGGGTACAGTATTTCGGTCTAACCTACGCTAAGAATCTAAACATGTAAACAAAAGTCATTTTATCCTGCGAGTTGCTGAAAAGATTATTTCCAATAAACAAGTAAAAGTCCACCTCAAATAAGTGAATTCATAAATACAAAAGCAAACAATACATTATTTATATATCTATTATTATGGTTGTAGAAACCGAAAGTACAAAATGCAAAACTGTTGAGAGTAAGTCGGTTTTGTTGAAAATTGTACACAAGTGGGCATTTTTAATTAAAAAGCACTGTGATACATATTTTCTATCATAATTATACCGAAACATACTTTATTTTTCTCTGGATGTCAAATATATGCATTTTTATACATTACACTCTCTGTTTCTGTTTAAATCTGAAACCACGTGGTAGAACTAACAACTTTCAATTTGATTTCAATTTGCGATTTGATAAGCCTGTCCAGCAAAGTAAAGGCTACCGGCACCAGAATTTGAAAAGATACATGCGTCATAACAAAGAAGCATCCAAGAGGTGTTTTGGAGTTGTGAAAGATTTGTTTAATTCTTAAACTGTCTAATAAATAAGCAGAATAGTTTGGTTTATCGGTCATTTCAGTGTCCACAAAAGCTCTAATTAGGAATATTCGGCGAGGTGCTCCGCAGTTAAAGCGGTACACGCATCACTCGGTCATTTATGATAGTTTTTGGTGACGTTGTAGCTACATGTAAAATGTTTACTGTTACTGTTTAACGAAGAATGAGGTAGTCAAATGTTATTTAGATAACGATAATCAATGCATGCAGTTTAAAGATTCTGAATTAAAAACAGAATGAAAGAGTGTTTGTAGTAAAATGTGACGTAAAATGATATTTTCTGATATTTCCTTTTACCGATTTGTTTTCGTCGATATTATGTCGTATTTCGAAGCAAAGCGTACGCAATGTAATGTTTGTATATTGGTTCTTATAACTTTAGGGTTTCAATGAGATTCATTAACTTCAATTTTAATTGCAAAAATAAACGCACCAGCATTTGTGGAAAGATTAAATAACCTCTCCAATGACTACGTGCTTTAATTGTACTGTTACCTAAATTAAAATAAAGATATCTCAAATATGACCTTTAGCATGTAATACAGGGTCCCTTTTATCTTGATGTTTAATTTTAAACTAGTTTTACCCATACTTAATCCTATATACTAGTTGAAACACCAAGTTATCTCCCAACATTGAAACATTTGTCAATCACACAATGTCATAAATTTGGTTTATCTTAATTATGATAATTATAATCTGCAGCATGTAGAGGGCAACTGGCAAAGATATAAACTAAAAGTGATAATTTGTACTGCAATCATTAGTAATGGTATACTGTTTTTTTTTCTTTGGGTACCAATAGCAGTGAAAAATGTCTTTTTTTAAACGTAAATTTTCTTTTGTACATCC